TTATAGCAAGTGTTCAAAAAAGAAAAACAAACCAAAAAAAAAAAAACAAACCCAAAACCCAATGCTTACATAGAACTTATTGGGTGCCAGGCATAGTTCTACTAACTCAGTCAATCCTCAAATAATTCTATGCAGTAGGGACAATGGTTGGCCCGCTTCCAGATCAGGATACTGAGACACAGAGAGATTAAGGAATTCGGCCAGGTATGGTGGCTCACGCCTATATCCCAGTACTTTGGGAGGCTGAGGCAGGTGGATCACCTGAGGTCAGGAGTTTGAGACAAGCCTGGCCAATATGGTGAAACCCTGTCTCTACTAAAACTACAAAAATTAGGCGGGCATGGTGGTGGGCACCTGTAATCCCAGTGACTCAGGAGGCTGAAGCAGGAGAATCGCTTGAACCCAGGAGGTGGAGGTTGCAGTGAGCTGAGATCGTGCCACTGCACTCCAGCCTGGACAACAGGGCGAAACTCTGTCTCAAAAAAAAAAAAAAAGATTAAGGAATTTGCCAAAAGTTATCCTATTATGCTGCCTCCTAAAGAAACGTTGGCTATTACTATTATATATCTCCCAGGGAGATAGGAGGTTAAAGGACTAGTGGGAGCGGGGCACGGTGGCTCATGCCTATAAGCCCAGTATGTTGGGAGGCTGAGGAGGACAGATCGCTTGAGTTCAGGAGTTGCAGACCAGGCTGGGCAACATGGTGAAACCCCTTCTCTACCAAAAATACAAAAAAATCAGCTGGACATGATTGTGGGTGCCTGTGGTCTCAGCTACACAGGAGGCTGAGGTGGGAGGATTGTTTGAGCCCAAGAGTTTGAGGCTATAGCAAGCTATGATCACCCTACTGCACTCCAACCTGGGCAACACAGCAAGACCCTGTCTCAAAAAAAAAAAAAAAAAAAAGGTCGGGCGCACGCCTATAATCCCAGCACTTTGGGAGGCCGAGGCGGGTGGATCATGAGGTCAGGAGATCGAGACCATCCTGGCCAACATGATGAAACCCCGTCTCTACTAAAAATACAAAAAATTAGCCAGGCGTGGTGGCGGGCGCCTGTAGTCCCAGCTACTCGGGAGGCTGAGGCAGGAGAAAGGCGTGAACCCGGGAGGCAGAGCTTGCAGTGAGCCGAGATGGCACCACTGCACTCCAGCCTGGGCGACAGAGCGAGACTCCATCTCAAAAAAAAAAAAAAGCGAAAAAAAAATCAAGGAGTACTGGGGTTCTGACAGTGGGCAGGGGATGTTAGGAATAGGAAAAGGCAATGGGAGAGTTATCTAAGCCTGGAGGTTTGTGGTTCCGAGGAGTAAAAGCTTTATGGATTAGAGGCTAGGACTCCTATTGAGAAAGAGTCCCAGTTTCACTGAGCGGAGGAAAGGTGGCAGTCAATGGGAGGCAGAGCCTGGGTGGGATTGCTGAAGCCCAATCTATGATGCTTTGGATTGGCAGGAAAATCCTGCCTGGATTAAGGGTGACAAGGAAGAAGCTGAGCCAATGACAAAAGGGTAGGAGCCCCTTCCCCCATTACCTGCATCTGGTGGCAGGTAGAAGACGAAGATGGCCAGAAGAGTGATGAGGATGCATGGGGCGATGACATTGACCAGGTAGAAGAGAGGCTTCCGGCGGATGATGAGGTAGAAGATGACTTCCTGGCGCTGTCCTTCCCTCCCTTCCCTAGGATCACCTGGAGGCTGGATTAGCCGAGAGGGCTTGTGGATAATCTCCCACTGGCCATTCTCTGGGGAGGAGGAGAAGGAGGGGGACCCAGATATGGGAGCTGTCCTCATTAGTGTCAAGTATGGCTTGCTCTGCCACAGCCTAGATCTGAGAGGGTTGACTTGATGAGACTAGCTGTGGACACTGGGCTGAGTAGCCCATCTCAAATAAACTTGGGCAAGTCTCCATGTCCATGTTTTTATTTATTTATTTTGAGACGGAGTTTCGCTCTTGTTGCCCACGTTGGAGTGCAGTAATGCAATCTTGGCTCACTGCAACCTCCGCCTCCCAGGTTCAAGTGATTCTCCTGCCTCAGCCTCCCAAGTAGCTGGGATTACAGGTGTCCGCCACCATGCACGGCTAATTTTTTGTGTTTTTAGTAGAGACGGGGTTTCACCACGTTAGTCAGGGTGGTCTCGAACTCCAGACCTCAAATGATCCGCCTGCCTCGGCTTCCCGAAGTACTGGGATTACAGGCGTGAGTCATCGCCCCCGGCAATTTCCATACTTTTAAAATGTAGATAGCCACACCCATCCTGCTGACCCCACAGGGCGGTATTGGTCATCCCTGACAGGATATTTATGAGCCTGTTAGAAGCTGGAAATCATAGAGCCCATGGATGTAGGAGCCATGCCCACTCACCAATGAAAGTCCCTTCATGAATGTGGATTTCCTGCTGCTCTTGCCCGTCAGGACCCAGGCCTGTCTGCAGGCTGACCTCCGAGCTGTCGTAGCTGTAGGAACTGAACACCATAGTGCAGTTCTGCCAGTCGAAGGGGAAGTAGGTGACCTGGATGGAGGGGAGAGTCACTAGAGCTGCTAGAGAATCAGTCAGCGCTGATGGAGTTTGGGAGGGCACAGGGAAGGGGAATCACGGAGGAATTGGAGGGTTATGAAGGAAAGCCATGGAGAAAATGGGGGTGGGGAGAGAGGTCACTGAGTAAGACTAGAAGCCAAAGAAAGTGTACAGAACACTCAATGGAAAATCAGGAGGGTAGACAAGAGGTGAAGGTCATGGGGATTAGATAATGGGGGAAGAATGAAGGATGGGAGTCGCTGGAGAGTCAGGATGTCTATGGAAAGGGAGGGTTTCTAAGAGCTCCTTCAGCTTCCAATGTAGAGCCGGGAAACCTGGATGCTGCAGCTGCTGCGATAGATGCCCGGGGGTTGCCAACGCACGGAGCCGTCGGAGGACGCCACGACGTTAATGTCCAGAGCCACGTCAAAATTCCCATCGTTGCTGCAGAGAAGGGATCTCATCTGGGATCAGGCCCCGCACCCGGAGGCCCCGCCCCGCGAGGCCCCGCGCCACCTCCCGGGCTTTGGAAGGTCTCCTACTTGTTCAGTAGCACCACGTCAGGGAGCCACACGGATTCTGCCGTGATGCGGAGCAAATCGATGCCGTCGTGCTCCGCAGGGTCCCAGCTCAGCCTGTAGTCAGTCCACTCCTAGTGAAGCAGAGGCTGAGGGGCTGTCCCGGGTTGGAGGCCGGGAGGGGACGAGGGATTTCCAAAGGAAGCCCAGGAAGGGAGTGCAAGGAAGGGGAGCAGGGCAGGCATAAACTGTGGGTCAAGGGGCCGGGGTTCTGGCTCTGGCTCCGCCTTCACTCGCTGGGATCCACATCAGCTAATTTCCCTTCCCCCGCACCGGGTTTCAATTTTTTACTCTGTAAAAATGAGGAGGCTGCACTAGCTAGCCTCTAAAACAGTGGTTTTCGAACTGCAGTTCGCAGTCCTTTAGTGGATGGGGAATCAAATTAGTGGTCCCAAACCATTGTTTCAAAAATTAGAATGGGCCAGGTGCAGTGGCTCATGCCTGTAATCTCAGCACTTGGGGAGATTCCCCCCGAGGCTGGTGGATGGCTCAAGCTCCCGCGTTCAAGACCAGCCTGTGCAACATAGTGAGACCGCGTCACATACACACACACACACACACACACACACACACACACACACACACAAAATTAGAATAAAAAATGCATGGGGTGCAACTCCTGTAGTAAAGTTAGGTGTTGTTTCCTCAAACTTTGGCTTCAGTTGTAAGTGTGTTATCTAAAGTCGTGATGTAAAAAATATTCTTACTGGGCTGGATATTCAAGAAAATTGTCAAGGCAGCGGGAGGCCCTTTCCCACCCTGCGGGGTCTCCATACCAGGTCTAAGTACACCTTTGTGCTCATCTCTTCATCCTTCTCATTCTAGAAGGGAAAAATTTAAGGGGTAAAGGTGAAGTAGGGTGGAGAGAAATGAGGGGGCTGGAAGGCCAACCTCTCCTGGGAACCCCACCCCCTTTTTCTGAGCCCCATCCTCTTGAGTCCAAGTCCACATCCCAGAAGGAGCATTAGTTTAAGACCTGCCTGTATCTCAGAAACACCCTTTCCAGCCGTCTACACTCCCAGCCTCTCAACCTACCAGATTCGCTCCTGCCTAGCCCTCCGCCTTGCTCTGTCCCGGGCCCTGCCCTCAGCTCATAATCCACCCAGCCATGAATCTCCACCTGTTGCCATTTATTGACCCCTGAGCACGAAGCACCCTGGGCACTCAGGACCCATATGGCCCTACCTCAAGGTCCATCCCCCAGCCCCTGCCTCGTCCCCAGCTCCACTTTAAGGTCCGGTCACAGGTCCGTCCATCACCCTACCCAGCTCTACTCCGGCTCTGGTCACCAGCCACGGCCAGAGCTTGTCCATTTGTCTGATTTCGACCCAGTCTTCACTGAAGGCTGGTCTCAGCCTGGTCTCGTCCCAGGCCCCGCCCCCAGTCTGTCCCCGGTCCCGCCTTTCCTAAAGTCACGCCCCGCGGCTGGTCGGCTGGCCTGACCTCTACCCCCACCCCCGCCGTGCGCCCTCACCAGGCTGATGAGTTGTGCCAGGATGAGACCAACGCTGACCCTGACACGGTCTCCCACCTCCCGCGCTGGCCGCACGGAGCTATCATAGCCAGAGAAAAGTTTCTCCCGGAGTCGGCCCTCTGCCTCCGAGCCGCGGACGCCTGGGGAAGGAGAGACTAAGTGCAGCCCTGGTGTCTGGCCACAACTGCTGGACCCCTCACTGCTCCTTCAGGGCCTACACTTACCTGGGGCGAGCGGCGCCCCCAGCGCCCCCAGCAGCATCAGCAGAGCCCCTGGGGTCATAGCCTGGCGGCTCGCTCAGTGACTTCGCTCCAAGAGCCACTGGGACCGCCAGCACAGGGGAAGTGACGAGGAGCCCGGGAATGTGCACCTGTTGCTGGGGGCAGCCGCCAGCCCACCCGCCCCGCCCCTGGGACTTGATCCTGCCTCGAGCAACTGCCAAGCCCGCCACCAACAGATGACAGACAGCACTTTAGTTGTATACATCGTCTTTAATTGAGAAAGCGTGGAGTGGAGATCCGATCCCCTGGGAGCAGTCCCAGGAGTTGGGTGGAGCCTGAGCGGGGTTTGTGTGGGTGAGTGGACATCTACTCCTCTTGCAACAAGCCGGAAGTAGAACAGCCTAAGGAAAAGTGACCTGCCTTGGAGCCCTAGTCCCTCCCTTAGGGCCCCCTCAGCCTACCCTATCCAAATCTGAGGCTATGGGAGTCTCCCTCCTAGTTCACTAGCAGGTTCCCAGTTTTTTCCAGGCTGCCCCTAGCGCTCCATGTTTTTCTGAAAAAATCTAGACGGGCCCTTTTTGGGTATCTAAAGCTCAGCTAAGGTTCTAAGCTGTAAGGTAAAGCAAGTTCTATCCAATTAGAAGCTGTCAGGGCATATGAGGTCTGGAGTGCAAGAGGCCTTCACCCTCCTTGGCCTGACCTATAGGGGAGAAGGGTGAGACTTATTGCTAAATTGGGGTCTCCTCACTGGGAGGGTCAAGGCTGTATCCATTTGTCCTTTTTATTCAGGACACATTACTTTAAGGACCTCAGCTTTAAAAGGGGCCTGGAAGGAATTCCTGCTGAGGTAGCTAAGTGTTCATATCCACTCCACACAGATGCAGGTTCAATCATGCCATCATTTTGACCCCTCCCCCATCCCAGCTTCCCTACTACGAGCCAGGGATCTTTCCAAAATTCCTCAGCCCTTCTCCAGACTCTGTCTCCCTAGCACGACCTCAGCTGGGTTGAAGTAGCTAGAAATTGCATGTAAAAATAAGCTTAGCATTCTATATGGAAGAATCATATTTTTAGAGAATTATCTAGGAAAAACAAGAAGTGGTTCTTGATTCATCCAGAAGTGTTTTTATGAATCATAGCTGGGTCTTTTCCAGAACTCATCCGTAATAGGTATCACTCAAGAAGGGGGGAGGGTGGGGCTAGAACTTACTGAGAGCAATAATATGGCTATACAGGCCCCAGCTCCATCCTGGGTAAAAGGGCTGAGAGTCATGATCTGTGTCCTAGATCTGGGATTCAGGAGGAAGTATGGCTCCATAAAACTCTAGAATTGGGTGCCTCTGGGATAAGAAGGTTAAACCTGTGGTCAATTGAGACTGGTTCTAGTTCAGGCCAAGGCCAACAACTAGACAAGGCTCAAATCTAGCCTCTTTCTACTTGGAAACCAGGGATCCATCTGAGTCAAGGACAGAAGCCTGATGGATCCAGAGCAAAGGCTGGCAGCATGCCTGGGTTCCAGCACAGAGCCCTGGTGCAGAAGTGGCCCTGGCTAGGGTGTCCAGTGTTCCAGAATGTGTCCAGACCAAGGAAGAATGTAGAGTAAGGAAAGAAGGACACATGAATCCTGAGCTTCAGTAAATCTAGAAATGGCTCAGTGGCAATGAAAATGGGCCCGAGACTCGAGGAACTGGCTGAGCCGGGGTGGGAAATGTTTATGCCCTGGCTGTCCATTTGGGAACTCCCAGCGCCATCTCAGGAAAAGGCATGGGGTTGTGTGAGTGTGGAAAGAAAGACGTGATCAGCCAGGACCATCTTCAGACATCCGCCTCTCTGACTCCCTCCTAGGCCCAAGGGTCTAAGGGTCTCAGCAGCCTCGGAAGTCACAGCCAGCCCCTAGGCCCCCTCAGGGTAGAGCACCTGGTGGGACCTGGCTGCTCAGGGCATGTGTGTAGCAGCAAGGGTGACAGCAGGACTGGGAGACAGGTTGTGGTGGTGGCTGGCTCACTGGGAGTGCAGGGAACCTCCAGTCCAGGGACTACATTTCAGGGGGCAGGGGGACTGGAAGGGGAGGCCTCGGGGACACTGTGGAGAGAAGGCTCCCGGTACATGGCCACTGTGAAGGGGAGAAAAAGAGGAGCAGGGAAGGAGAGTTAGGCACAGAGGGACCAGGCAGTACCAGTGCTCTGAAAGGGCTCCCTTTCCGTACATTCACCCTCCCAGAACCCCAACCCACAGGAGGAGAGCACCCCAAACCCCCAAAGGGCAAAGCTTTCCTGGCTTGATCTGTCATAACAGGGTCCTCTTATCACTTGTAGCCTGAGTTGTCTGCCCCTAAATGTCCATATCAAGGTCAATACCCTCTCCTGGGGTCCGCATTTTCTTGAGTCTATACCCACCCTCCATGAGCTTAGGCAGAAAGTGGGCGGCTGCCTTGGTCTTCTTAACTCGGTTTCCCTTCATGACCTGGCCCTCCTTGTCCAGGCCGAGGTACCAGGCCCGGCCAGAACGACGCTGGCGGTAGAGAGCAGAGGCGTACAGGACGTAGTAATTCTCAAAGACACACTCCTTAAAGCGACACTCAGCTGTGAAATGCGGCTAAGGAGACAAAGACCCAGAAAGGCACACAAAGACAGAGAGATAAAAAGACACATCACTGGGCAGAAGGGAGCTCATGGAAAGCACAAGCCAGGATAGATAGATAGAATCCATATGGTTTTTGGGGGAGGGGGAGGGCAACTTCTGAGTCCTTGTAGGACCTGGGAGCAAAGGGAGGACAAGGAAGAGGCCTGGTGGGCCCCGAGGGCTAAGAACTAGGCTCTGGGCCAAGCACAGTGGCTCATGCCTGTAATCCCAACACTTTGGCAGGCTGAGGCGGGTGGATCAGCTGAGGTCAGGAGTTCGAGACCAGCCTGGCCAATATAGCAAGACCCTGTTACTATTTAAAAAAAAAAAAAGAGAACTAGACTTTTAGGGGTCTTGGAATAAGATTCCTTCTCTCCACTGTATTCCCAATTTCTCACTATCCCCTATCCTGGATGACTCTAGGGAAGTGAGTAATGACAAAATCTGGAGGAGATGGGATGAGAAGTAGGGGCCGTAAAAGGCAGAAAGAGTTGGACATTCAAAGAGCCTGGGGCTGTGTTGGGGGTGTGCAAGGAGTGGGCATTCAAGAGGCCCTAGAGGAGTTGGTCCGGAATGGGCAGTGATGACAGGCCATGAGCAAAAGCTGGAGGGAGGAGTCCCAGGCAAAATGTCTGTAGTTGAGGAAGACTGTCATTCCCTCAAGGGACAAATTGAGGAAGGGGAGTTCCCAGTATTCCCCGGCCACTCAGCCTCATTGTCTCACCGAACTATAGAGCAGTCCCTCAGCATTCATGGCCATGTAGTGACCCAGCTTGGCGCTCTGGATGGTGACCACACGGAGGCCTACAGGGATCAGGTTGAAGTGGGCTGGGGGTGGAGAGAGGGAGCATCAATACCCAGGCCTCTGACCCTCACCTGAGCTCCCCTCATCCCAGCTCCGCATTTTCCCTTAGGGGTCAGGAAGATGGACCAATGGCAACAGAAGCTGAAGAGGGAATAGGATTGTCATCTGCTGTCCCCATTCTCCCCCTTCCCACCCAGCGGCCAGCTTCCCCTCTCACTGAAGGAGCTGGTATCCTCTGGGGTGCCCTGGATACTTCCGTCGGGATTCGCCTGGAGGTAGAAACCCTGGCGGCAGAACAGTTTGGTGACGATGCCTTTGAGCTGAGGCTCTGGAGAGAGAGACATTCATCTTTGAAAATGACATCTCTGTTCCCAGAAACATTCCTACACTTGGCAGGATCAGAGGATGAAAGGAGAATGAAAGGAAGAGGGTCCCAGGGCCCCAGCTCTCTTACCCTCCAAGCACACTCTCTCCCACCTCCCTTTCACTCCTGGGAAAGCTGATGTGGGTCCCTTCTGCTTCCTATAACCAGGAGCTTTCAGTGTAATTTATTGAAATTTATTTAAATGGCTTAATTCCTACCCTACAGCTTAACCAGAAGCGGGGAGGAGTGGGGGAGGAGGGAGGGGAGAGATATATCAAAAGGCAGGGACAGAGGGAGACCAGCAGGGGTACTGAAGGGGCAGCGTGTTTGCGAAGGTGGGGGACAGTGGCAGCAGCAAATTGACCACAGGGTAGGGGCTCTCCCTCAGGGGTGGGGGTGGGACTGGGCCTGACGCTGACTCAGCACCTGCTGCGGCTGCCGCTAGCTTGGCGAGAGCCTTGCCTTGGCCCAGTGCCGGTCTGTCTGACACTGACCCGTCTGTCTGTCTGTCTGCTGGCTCGCGGGGGCCCAGCTCTCCCTGAGGCTCAGCCTCTCCCCTTCGGCCAGGTAACCCGCCTGGGGTAAGGGGGACATCACCAAGGATATGGGGGGTGGGAGCTGAGGAGATGGAAAGGCAGGCTGAGTCACGTGGGGGCCCGGTCCCACTCAGAGGGTGGGCTGCGGATTGTACCACTATGGGCAGCCGGTGGCGCGGGGAGGAGGGCGCGAGGGGGCTACCCTTAAGGGAGTTGAGAGCGGGCGGGAGCAGGGCCAGAGGGACTCCCTGACTGTCGCACCTGGACGGGGACCACACTCTTTAACTCTCAGAACTCTCCTCCCCCATCGCTTGCTCTCTGCCGACTTCCCTGTCCCCCTTGTAGGTGGTACGACCCCCAAGAGTCTGCGCCCATCTCTAGCCGTGAACTGTGTCTGAGTTCCTCCCAGCGCAGGGTCCCCTGAGCCTACGGGACCCGATTTCGGAGTGGCGCGGGGGGTATGGGAGGGGGTGCCCAGCTCCGTTCTTGAAGCGCAGGTCACGGGAGGAGGGCGCATAGAAGGCTGGCTGGCGAGGTAGCTGCAAGGACACCCGAGGGAGAGCTGGGGAGATTGGCTCGGAGCCAGGAGAGCTCGACCAGGAGGAACCGAGCCCAGGCGTGGAGGAGCGGGAGAACCGGGGCGGGCAGGGGCTGGGGGGGCGTGCTGCTGGAGCTGCAGAAACCCTTGGGGTGACCCAGGCGTCTGGAAACCCCCAGGCCTCTCCGCTCCAGATTGAAAGAATCGCGAGAACCGGCACGTAGGCGGAGGACGATGGGGGTGGGGACTGCTGTGTTGGGAAGGGGGGACAAGTAGGAACTGCGAGGCTTTCGGGGATACAGACTTAGCCCCTCAAGCCTTCCCCTTGACCTCGAAAATAAGGAGACTCCGGGTTATGGACTAAAGAGAAGGGAAACTGAGACACAGTCTGGCAGGGACTTTGTCGTCCTGGCCCACCCCCTTCCACTTTCGAGGAGCCCCTCAGCCGGGCCCTATCCTTCAGAGTCCCTGGCCTCAATCTCCCAGGCAGAGAAACCTCTGGCCGGGAGACCCCGCCCCAGTCGCACTCACCCGGGCCGCGGTCCGGCCGCGCGGGCCGCCCCCCGCACAGTCGCACCTTGGACAGCAGGATGAGGAGCTGCTTCTGGCAAAGGGACTTGGTGCCGCGGGGACACACCCGCCGCTGTGCCGACACCGGCCGGCTGCCCCCGGGCTCGCGGACCTCGCGCTTCTGCCGGATCAGGCTACTGGCCAGCGCCGCCATGGCGCCCCGGGAGGAGACACCCCCAAACCGGCCAGCGCCAGGAGCGCGCTGGGCTCCAGCCCGCTCACTAGGGCATGCTCTTGACGCTCAGGCCCCGACTCGCTGCCCCCCCCACAGGACCTGAGGATAAGCCCCAGAACCCCCCACCTCACGTACGCCCCTCCACAGCAGCCAGTTGCCACCCGTGGGCCCAGTGCTGGCTCCACCGGATCCAGCAGCCTATGTACTCCTCAGTGGATCCCACCCTCGAGTTTTGCCTCCTACTGAAAACGTCCCCTTTCCCTCCTCTCCAGTGTCTGTCCCCACTTCACCTATCCCAAAACCAAGACCCCCTAAATTTCCAAGAGGTGGTTAAAATATCTCCAGGCACCTTTCCACTGTATTTTGGGGCACACTCCTACCAAATCCACTCTTGTAATCTACAGGGTGTGGAACTTTAGCTTTGGGGATATTTGCTCATCCCACCCCTACTGGGGCACTGCCAATGTCAGGAAGGAACTCAACCTTGGTGTTTTTTCCTTTGCTACACTCTAAATGGAGGGGATCCCCTACTTTTTTCACTGAAATCTCCCCAAAATATGTCTCAGAATATCCAGGTTGCCCAGATTCAGTAAGACGGGGCTCCCAGACCCTCTGGCTGGATAACAGCTTTTTCACCAAGTCACCCCCATGTCTAGTAGCATAGAATTCTAGCGGCCAAGACCCTTTCTTCACCTTCACACCCTCCGCTCCTTTTGAAGTCACCTCCAAAGCCACCCTTCCTAGTGGATACACCAGGTAGTTGTCTGGAGGGCCTTCCGCCACCTCAAAATGAGGAGCATCCGTGTTTGCTTTTTTTTCTCCCCTGGCTGCCCCTTAAATTTTCTTGGGGACAGCTGGTGCTGTTTAGATCCCACGCCCTCCAATCTAACCAGCCCCCCGAGAGAGGAGTGCACCCACGTTGTCACCAGTCCCCAAATGTGAACAGGCCCCCTACAAGTCAGAGCGGATCACCGCTTCCTGCGACAGGGCTTCCTCGTCCTCCCCGGGATTGCCTATAGCACCCCCTCTTCCTTTCCCCGACGCCCCTCAACCTGTCCTGTCCTGTTGATCCGGCGACGGGTGGCGCTGGCTTCGGCTCCAGGCTCCTCCCTCCCTGTCCCCCGCAAACGGAGCTTCCCCCCACGCCCGGCTAGGCGTCCCGGACCCTGGGGAAGGAGTGAGGGTGTCTCTGCAGAGCTCCCCGGTCCGGCGAAGTCAGAGCACTGGGCCGGTGGCTGGACCAGGCAGAGCGGCGGCAGCGGCGGCAGCGGCAGCGGCTGTGGGAAGCTGAGGCGGCGGCGGCGGCGACAGCAGTTCCCCCTCCTCGGAGAGCCGGCCCGGGGGCGGGGCAGGGGGCGGAGACGCTGGGAAATAGGAGGGTGAAGCCGGGCAGGAGGAACCCCGGGGTTCCTTGGAGGTAGAGAGCGCGGACTGTGTCTTACAAGCAGGCAAAGCCGAGGCAAGGCCGCACGTCTCAGCCTTCAGAGAAGGAGGGACAAGAAGGCCTCCCGAACGCACCTCTGGATAGGAAGGAGAGGTTGGGCCCAAGGGAGATGGAATGGCGGACGCTGGGAGAATGGAGAGGGACCCTACTGGCCGGGATGTTAGCGAGGACAGAACAGCACGAGGAAAGTGGGGGAAGAACTGGAGAGATGGAGGAGGGGTAGTGGTGAGATCCAGCCTCGGGCGAAATCCGGCCTCCTTCATATCTCTGCCTTTGTGTGTGAGCCAAATTGATCAGACCCTGGTCTCCATAACTCCTTTCCGCGTTTGGTCAGCAAATATGTTTCTCCCATTTCTACTGACCCTTAAGAGAAATGACCAAAAGAACTGGGGACAGACGGTTTCTGGAAGCTGCCCCTGGGCGGAGTGCTGGCCACAGATGTGGAGAGTAGCGAGGCTGGAATGGGGCAACTTGTGCCGGGGCAGGCGGGTGGTCCTAGAGGAGGAACCAACAGGGAGGCCTTCCAGAAGGGGGGCTTCAGGCCCAGGGCACACAGTCAGTCCCCCAGGCGAGGGGCGAGCTGTGCCCCCCACGTCTCGCTAGCCCACAGAGGCACTTTCCACTGGTAGGAACAGCAACTTTAATGGGCCCCGCCCCCCAAGCCGGCCAAACCGCCCCCTTTGCGGGCCACCTTGGCCTCCTCCACCGCGGCACGGAGGGCCCGGGCAGGGTCCCCGCGGAGCCGGGCCAATTCTCCGAGCAGCGCAGCGGAGCCGTCCCCGGTACGGAGCTCTCGGCCGTTCAGAAAATAGTGAGGCAAAGTCCCGGCCTCGAGCACTCGGCCCAGCTCGTCTAGCAGCCCGAGGCAGCAGGCGCCCGCATTTTCTGGCCGCGCCAGGTAGAGCGCGGGCAGCCGCTCGCACGCCCAGTACAGCAGCGTCCGCAGGAGGTAGGGCGCCGCTGCCCGGGTCCCGGCCACCAGCGGGCGCAGTAGCGCCTGGGCCGCCGCGTGCGCCTGTAGCAGCGGCGCTGGTATGCGCGCTTTGAGCGCCAGCTCCTGGCGGGCGAAACAGAGCTGCCAGGCAGAGGCGCACGGTCGCTCGGTGCCGCCACCGGGCACCAGGTAGAAGGAAGCCGACTCAGAGGCCAGAGGACCAGCCCATGAGTGGCTCCGAGCCCCCTCGGGCCAGCCGGCCACGGATACCACTGGGATCAGGTCGAAGAGCAGGAGGCGGCGAGGGGGATCAGGAGTAGCCAGAAGGACGGTGGTGAAACCCGCGTGACGAGCTGCGTGCACCAGACGCGGAGCACCCGGGACAGGGATCAGAGACTCGGCGACCGCCGCCAGCGTAGCAAAGAACCAGGTAGCCACCTGGGAGGGACATAATGTGGGCCACGCTTCCCGAGCCTCCGATGGCTTTGGGACTGGGCTTTCGACGTCTGCCTTGGTGACATCACTACTCAGTGTTTTCAAAGGCGCGCTAGAGCCAAGGTCGACGACGTCATGCTGAGGCAACTCGGACGATGAAACGTCACTAGGTGATTTTTCCAAAGACACTGGCGCCTCGTGCTCAGTGACGTAGCTGTGCGGCTGGTCTACAGAGCTTTGCCAGTCCTTGGAACTTTCTTCGCTCTCCGTTCGGTGGATCGAATCACGTGCTCCTGGGACTGGGGGTCCTAAGCAATCCTGCCACATCTCCCGGATGGGGGTTCCGCACACCAGCTCTGGGAGGCAGACCTGTGCGTAACAGGATTCCAGGTCCAGTTGCAGTTCAGTGCCGTCCAGTGAAAACATGGGCACTAGGAGTGTGAAGCCGGCATCGTAGTGAGGTCCTCGGGCGTAGGGACCCAGGGGTGCATGCCCCAGATCCAGGGAACCCTCGCGAATCCCACCACGAAGCAGCAAGAGCTCTGCCTGGGGAGGAAAGCGAGGGTCCCGGCGGTGAACTAGACCTAAAAAATGGAACGGATCGTGAGGGTGTCGCCCAAAGCCGGGGCGGGGGCGGGGGCGTAGTGAGGCTGAGAGCTGTGAGTTCCCAAAGGCAAGTAGGGTTACTTACCAAGCAAAGAGAAGACAAAGTCCTTGGCCCGGAGGAGATCCGCTCCGGGCTTGGGCCCGTCACTCCAGCTCTCCTGCACACCCAGCTCCTGGATCAGCTGGGTCAATTCCTGCAGCTGCGCCCCAGAACAGAAGTCGATGTCCGTGAGCGGCCGAGCTGGGGCCGGGGGCGGCGGGCCCCACCAGGGGGCACTCCCCCAGACCGTGGAAGCCATGCGGTTCTATCGTTTTGGGCTAGGGAAAAC